AGCTCCATCAGCCAGGGGAGCAAGGAGGATGGTGCTGACACCCTCTATGGAAACCCGGCCTGGCAGAAGGGGGGCCAGATTGGGATGAGAAGGGAGTTAGGGACTTTTATGGGCATGAGGCTGGGACTCCTTTGGGGGTGGTAAAGGGAGTGAGAGCAGAAATTTATGCTTTAGAAGGGGGGTCCCCACCACAGGGTGCTCAGATCAGGGAAGGCAGGTGGGGGCATCCCAGGAAGGGGTAGGGCTGGCCCCGCCCTGGGCAGGGTGATGTGGGTGGTGGGCACTTGCTGGACTTTAGGAGATGGGGTATCTGCCTGTGCCCCTGTCTCACTTGAGGGTCCCAATTATCTGGGATTCAGCTGCCAACGAGGTCACCCCTGCGGGGAGGGGCTGCACATCTGGCCAGCATCCCTGTGGTAGGTTTACCCGTTGCAATTAAAGCTTTTGGCCCTTTTGTTTAGCCAAAGCAGCACAGATTAAAGGGCACTTTTATGTAACCAGGATGAATTTGAAACCACCAGTCATAGGGACAAGAATGGTTACTTTTCTCCCAAATGTTTTTATCCCCTTATTTGAGCCTATCTCAGAGGTAGTTGCTGATTTAGCTCGTAGATAAACACTGTAGATTCTAGTGTTGGGATATATGTGGATGAACACTTTTTCAAAAGGCACTTTAGGGCACTAGTCACAGGCTGGCTGCTGTATCCGGGCTTCCTTGTTGTGTCGTTATTGTAGCATTGGGAGTGCTCAGGGGTCTCTCCCACGTTCCTCTCGCTCCCTGGCTGCGCGCCTCATGGGAGTTGTGCCACTGGCTCTTCTGGGTTTCAACACTCCTGGATGCTGGTCTGGGGGCTTTGTCCCTCCCTCCCTCCCTCCCTCCCTCCCTCGCTCCCTCCCTCCTGTGTGCCGCACATCCTATATAATATATAATAAAGAGGTAATATGAAAATTGACCCTCACACCATAATGCCGACACAAGATGGCGGCGTGCACAGTGGGGTGGGGTAGCAGGGGTAGGGCCGGAGGCCATTCTGCGCAGCTTCCGCTGAGGTTCCTGCGACCCTGCGGGGGCACGGGGGTCCTGGTGGCCACTTCACGCGGCTTCTGCCGGGATTTCCGCAGCCCCACGTGTGTGCTGCAGGGGCAGGGCCTGGCGGCCGCTCTACACAGCCCGGAAGTGGGGCATCGGGGCGGCACTCCAGGACTCGGGGCCATCCCGCTGCGCGCCAGCCACATGGGGCGGGACTCCAGGACTCAGGGTGGTCCCATGGTGTGGGGGGCGGATGGGGGGAGGGGTCCCGGGTCTCGCACAATTTCTCGCGATGGGTCACTAGTATTAATGATGAAAGAGAATCATTGATTGGCTGTCTCCTGCATGCCCCCCCCACTGGGGATCAAGCCTGAAACTTGGGCATGTGCCCTGACTGGGAATCAAACCGTGACCTCCTGGTTCATAAGTTGACACTCACCCACTGAGCCACGCCTGCTGAGCCTGGAGATGGTTCTAATGGAACCAATGACACCGTGGGATGCGTGTGTTTTACTTAAAAATCTGAGGCTTCGTGGGTGTGCCCAGATTGTTTCCTCTGCAGTGACACCCCAGGAGGCTGGTATCTATGACCTGCCCATGGGCCACATGGTCACACACTCCCTGTTCTCCCTGCAGGAGCTTCACAGTGGGGACCCCAAGGAGGGACCTTTCCGGGAGGACCAGTGTCCTCTAGAGGGTAAGTCCTGCTCCCCAAACCCCACAGACTCTACCCTGTACCCCAGGCATATACCCGAAACCTACCCTTAGGACACCTGGACAAGCTGAAGCCCAGATGGCATAGGCATGCCCACTCCATGCTCCTTAACTTCCCCCCCAAACCCAGACCAACACAGGCAGCCTCCTCCCCACCTTGATCTCCAAAGCCACTGCTGGCTGGGTGGGCAGATCCAGGAAGACACACCTGGCTATGGCTATGCCAGGCGAGGGCTGAGGGCACACCCAGATGGCATAGGCATGCCCACTCCATGCTCCTTAACTTCCCCCCCAAACCCAGACCAACACAGGCAGCCTCCTCCCCACCTTGATCTCCAAAGCCACTGCTGGCTGGGTGGGCAGATCCAGGAAGACACACCCTGACCATGGCTATCCCAGGCAGGGCTGAGGGCACACCTGACCATGACTAACCCGGCCAGGGCTGAGGGCACACCTGACCATGACTAACCCGGCCAGGGCTGAGGGCACACCTGACCATGGCTATCCCAGGCAGGGCTGAGGGCACACCTGACCATGGCTATCCCAGGTGAGGGCTGAGGGCACACCTGACCATGGCTACCCCAGGTGAGGGCTGAGGGCACACCTGGCTATGGCTAACCCAGGCGGGGCTGAGGGCATACCTGGCTATGGCTAACCCAGGCGGGGCTGAGGGCACACCTGACCATGGTGTGAGGACTGCCCTGCCTCTGCACAGATCTGATGCCTCCTTGTTCTGGAAGGCTGGGCTCTCAGCTCAGGCCCATCTGGGAAGGAGCACAGGCTCCCCAGCCGCACCTCCCGGCATCCCCGCTGCTCTGAGTCACCTACCTGGGTGGGATGGAGGTGGCGGATGGCTCTCCCTCACTCCTTCTTCTACCTCCAGTGGCACTGCCCCCTGAGAAAGCTGAGGGTCGAGAGGGTACCGGACAGCTCTTCAGTACAGATGATGTTGAAAGAGCAGCAAACCGCGAAGGTCTGCGAGGCCTGGGCAAGAAGCGCCTGAACATCGACGTAGGTCTTTGCTCTGCCTCAAGGTGCAAAAGGGCCCGCGCTGGGCTAGGCACACATGGGCCCTAAAACAGGGCCTTGCCCGGGCAGTTTGCCTGAGGTTCAGCCGGTTGGAGGAGTTACAGCAAAGCTTGCATGTGCTTCCGACATCCGCCAGCTCTGGGAAGGGGTGGGGGTGGGCAAGGAAGGTGTGGCCACAAATCCAGCTGAAACTGGCCAATGTGGCACCAAATAACCCAGAGGACTTCCCGGTGTGGCGCCAGCACCCCGGGATGCCACAGAGGTCCACCTTGGCCTTCCAAGGCAGGAGCTCCTGGGAGCAGTGGAAGGACACCTGTTTTCCTGAGAGGTGGGGGGAGGCTCGGGGTCCCAGCGTGGGGTGACGACCCCACCCGCCCCCGACCCCTTGTGCCCTGCAGGCACTCCAGTGCGACGTCTCGGTGGAGGAGGACAACCGCCAGGAGTGGACCTTCACGCTCTACGGCTTCGACAACAGTGGGAAGGCCACCAGGGAGGTGATGCACTTGTGTCTTCAAAGATGGTCCCCTGGGCAGGGAGCTGGCAGCAGACAGATGCCAGGGCCCTGGTCTTGGTGATGAGGAGACAGGCCGAGCCCTCTAGGGTGGGAGGAGAGGCCGGACCTTCCCCAGGCGTGGGGGCCGCGGTGACCCAGGCAGCCGCTGGAGCCTAGGGAGCCTCGTGGCCCAGGCTGTTGGCAGTTTCCTGCAGAGCCTGTGTCTGGATCCCCTGAGGCTCAGTGGGGCCAGCAGCTCCTGGGCAAGGTGGCGAGGGTCCCGGGATGCCCTCAGCGCTCACCTCTGCTGGCTGTGTGTGTCCAGGATGGGTAAAGAGCCGCTGGGAAGGAAGCAGACACACAGGGCGACAGAAATAAGTGTCTTTGGGTTAAAGAGCAAAACTTAGGTAGTTATCTGACTGCTAAGTCCTTTGAACATATAGATTCAGTGTGAAATTTAAAAGGTCCAAGAGATGTGATTTCAACAATAACAGGGCTACTTGCCCCAGAGGTTTGGGGCCGCCGCACGGGGCTAAAGCTGGGGTGAGAAAGGCTGCTCGGTAAGTCGTCCTGTCTGAGGCAGGGGCGTATGGGATGCAGGTGACTCAGGCAGGCAGCCTGGAGGCGGTGGCATGGGCAGTTCCCCAGCCCCGTCTGCCTGTGTCAGTGACGTCGGTGCCATCCTCAGGACATGTCCAGCCTGATGCACACCATCTACGAGGTCGTCGACGCCTCCGTCAACCACTCCTCCGGCAGCAGTAAGACCCTCCGAGTGAAGCTGACCGTCAGCCCCGAGCCCTCCAGCAAAAGGAGGGAGGGTCTCCCCGCCAGCCAGGGTGAGGGGCTGGGCCCCTGCTCCGATACCCTGAAGACCCGGCTTTAACTGGCAGCCCATCCCTCCCTGCAGACCCTCCGCCTGGCCCTTACCCCCACTCTGCATTTCCCCACAGCCCTTACCTCCCACACACCAGGTCAGGGGAGTCATAATTGTGTCTACTCTTCAGCGCCCCATTCCCCCTCCTCTCCCCATCGGGACAAACTCTGGTTTCTTGACTTGGAAAGCAGGCACTAGCACCTGGCAGGGGCTCAGGAGTGTTTGCTCAGTAAATGGATGAAGGAGTGAATGAATGAAGGAGTGAACGAATGAATGAGTGACTTCACTCTTTCAGACCGGGAACCCACTCGCTGCAGGACGGAGGGCGAGGTCCTCGAGGACCCCAGGGTGGCTGACAGGAGGCTGTCTGCTCACATCAGGTGAGGGGCTGAGGTCTGGCTCCACCCTCCAGGTATACCCTCCTCACGGGGAGCAGCCCGCCCACACCCCTGCTTCCTGCATCCTCAGGGGCTGCCCCCTCAGGGCAGACTGACCTGGGTGTGGAGGATCACTGGGTACAGCCCCCTTTGGGGTGAGGGTGCTGTCTTGTGGCCCGGTACTCGGGCTGGAGCTGAGCACACCCAGTGTCTGTCAGAGGGCCGGGTGAGGCTTGAAGGGCAGGTCAGCCGAGGGCCCTCAGTCCGGCCACTCGGACACACTGATTCCACTCACCAGCTGTGGTGGTGACCGGGCCAGTGGAGGTCTCAGAGCAGTGACCCAGTCTCTGCCTCGGGGACCAGGAGACGGGAGTTCCTGCAGGTTCCCTAAGGCAGTCGGCAGCAGTGATCCTGGGGTCTTGGTGGGGTCCCGGACACCCATCCTTTCTGATGCTTCTCTCTGGGCGGTGGGTGCTGGTCAGAGTCCACTGCTCGGGACCATCCCCTTCAGTGCCCCCTTCATCTCCGAGGAAGGTCTGCTCTGGCCTTGCGTGAAGGTCAGGCCCCTTCTGCCCTGTGCCCCACACAGGAGGCCCAATGCTGACCCCCACCCCTGCCCCGTGAGGGGACTGTACTGCGTGGATGAGAACACTGAGCGGAGAAACCACTACCTGGACCTGGCCGGAATAGAGAACTACACGTCTAAATTCGGACCTGGTAGGTGCTGGGTGGGACCTGGGTAAGAGGCCTCCTTTAGCAGCATGAGCCCTGGCCTGGGGGTTCTAGGGCTCCTGCCACAACTCTGCTGCAGTATTGCGTCCAGGCGTGTATGTGGGAGTGGGGGGGTACCTGGCCCAAGGTGAGGTGTCAGGCCCCGCAGAGGGTCTCATGGTCTGTGTCCCATGTGTACAGGGTCCCCGCCAGCACAGGCCAAGCAGGAGCACCAGGGCAAGGCCTCACACCCCCCAAGCAGGTCTCGCTCCCAGGAGTCAGATGCACACACTGTGCACAACCGCAGGTCCCAGGTGCTGGCTGACCATGTCCTGCTGGCCGGCGACCCCACTGCCCGGGCCCTGGACGTGCAGCCCCGGCTGAAGGGGCAGGAAAAGCAGTTCCTCAAGTCCCCCAAGGGTGCGGGCAGGCCACCTGGGGTGCCCAGTGGGGGCGTGCCCATTGGGGGCATGCCGGGTGGGGGCAAGCCCGGGAGGGCTTTCAGCTACCACCCAGGGAGGGCCACTCTCCCCTCAGGGCCCCGCTGGGCCAGCCTGCGGTGATGGAGCACGAGGTGGTGCGGGACCTGCCGCCCATGCTGGTGGGGGAGGGCTACTCGGTGCCCGTGGTCCAGCGCCACGAGCACCACCACCACCACGAACACGGAGCCCGGCTGCAGGTCTCCCGTGGCAGCTGCGGTGGCACCCGTGGACACTCGTGGAGCGGGCCCTTCGCGCTTCCTCCGCTCGCCTTTCCTCCGTGCTCCTGACGGATGTCGTGTTGGGATGAGCACGTTTGATGCCACTGACGTTCCCCAGTTATGAAGTGATTCTGTGTAACCCATAAAACCATATGTACGCATAGAAAAGTACACCGTATCTTTCATTTGTGATCCCAAAATGAGCCCTCGTGGCGCAGAAGGGACTCTGCTCGGCTGACGTCCGTGTTTGTCTCATGGTGCCTCATGCGCTGGGGGCCTGGGACCGAGACGTGCAGGGTGGCGGGGCCTTGCTGTCCCGTAGCCGGGAGTGAACGTAGTGCTGCAGCCCTCGTGTAATTATTCGTTCTGAAGCCCAAAGGAGGTGGTTTTGGGGAGCAGTGGTTGCTGCGTGTGCGGTGGGGAGTTCTGCCTCACCACACCGAGCACAGATCATACAGAAGACTGGTTACAAGGCGGGTGCAAGGCGCTCCTCACAGTGGTCACGAAATTCTGGAGGTGAGGCCATGAGAGCAAAGAGGAGGTCCAGGTGGGGCTGGCACCAGCATCTTTCAGTGGACAGCAGGGCCGGGGCAGGTGGAAGGTTCCACCTAAAACACCCGCACAGGTAGGAGGCAGGACGCTTGTTCTCTGGGCTCACGTAAACCATCATAGTGCTCATCAAGCTTCCACGATGCCCACCTGTGGGAAAATGTGGCGCTCCTTCTGTGGGGGGCGGTGAGGGAAAGGGGCAGTGACGGTGTCCGAAGGCTGTGGAGCCTTGGCTGGCAGCGTCCCCCTGTGGCAGGACACTGCTGCCCCTTCTTCCATCTGAGACGAGCAAGTGACTTTCTGGTACTTTGAGAGTCTGTGCAGGTGATTTTGCATTCTCCTTCGTGGAACTGTGTCTAAGAATCAAGCTAATTGGTGATTGACTTGTAATTGAGTTCCCTCCCCCCTCAGGCATAATAAAAATATGTGCATTTTGTAATATGTCATTCCCTGTTTCAAAGTGAGCTTTTTAAATAGATATGGTCAGTCCACCTGCACCAGCCTGTGGGGGCTCATGCTGCACGGAGAGCGTGTCTGTCTCTTTACACAGACGTTTGCAGAAGGGAAATTAATGCACAACTCCAGGTTATGGGTAATGTTTCCCCCCACGTTACTGCTCTAAAAAACAAACAAACCCAAACCTAAGCCCCAAGTTGGGTTTATGATAACAGGACACTTCAGGCCACTGTCTGGGGCTGGGAGGACCGCGCTGCCCATGGAGACACGGGGCTCTGTGCCGAGACTCTAGATCCACGTGCCATTTGCCACCGCCTCCTCCCTTCTGCCATCACGTTCCTGTTCATGGCCGTTGTAAAGCCCCTCGGGATTTCCGAGTAACTAATGTCTGTCCCTGAGTCGAAGCCACGTGTGTAGGGAGAACTGCAGCGTCTCAGGATCTTTAGAGGCCAGAGCACTGGAATCTCAGTTCCAAGTGTTTCAGATCCTCAGACCCCAGCTGGTGCCGGCTGCCCAGGGCGGAGCGCCCTCTCCTGGTGAGACGCCTACACTCCACTAACACGCTTGAATCTGCACAGTGACACCCACACCACTGGCAGCAGGGTTTTTACAGACGCACCCGTCATCCCAACCTGGGTCTGTCCCTCAGGGTGCAGAGCCCCTGCACGTGGTCCCACATTCAGGGGCCGTATTTAGTTAATCCCAGCAGACCCTGCGGCCCCCACAGCCCTCGGGCAGGTGCTCGGCTCACCAGCTGGCAGGGAAGTTGGGTGGGCCTGAACTCCAGCCTCTGACCCCAGACCCTGGTTTCAAGAACCGTTCGTGCGTGCAATGAATGCCAGCAAACACACCGGAAGCCGAGTGTGTTGCTGCCCGTGAGTCCAAGCTGCAGAGAAGCCTATCATTGTCCAGATGGGAATGACTGCGCCTGCGCGATCCATCCCACCAGCTCCTGCGGGCAGTAGCGACCTCTGGCGGGCAGGGGGCACACACCTTGCCTCCTCAGGATTGTGACATCCACAGTGAAGAGATGAAAACAGCCTGGCTGCCAAGCCCCTGTAGCGTCGACCGACCTACAAACCAGGAGGTCACGGTTCGATTTCTGGTCAAGGTACATGCCCGGACTGTGGACTCAATCCCCAGTGGGGGGCATGAAGAAGGCAGCTGATCGATGATTCTTTCTTATCATTGATGTTTCTATTTCTCTCTCCCTCTCCTTTCCTCTCTGCAATCAATAAAAATATATTTTAAAAAAGAAACAATAACTGTGCCTGACATATAAATGAAAGCTCGTGCAGACATTCCCACATATTAACTGTTCATTTCTGGACCGACAACACAAAGACGATGCTTCCAGGGGCGCTTCAAAGATCAGGGCACTGGAATCCAGTGGGTGGTTGTCTGTTTGGCCCCCTTCTCCACTGCAGTCATGCTTATGGGGCAGATGTGAGCGCTGCCCGAGACCTCTGGGTCCCCTGACTCCTTCACCTTCATCCGCCTCTCACTCGGGACAACCTCAAAAAAACAACCAAGAAACAGACAAGCCACAGCCACTCTCCTGTCTCCTGAGCGCTTGACGAGATCCTGGCAAAACAGGGCTTTGGGGGAAGTTGTACCAGAGAGGCCCCAGCAATGCCGGGCCAAGGAGGCTGGAGGCCAGGGTGGACAGGCGGTGCTGGCCGGGCCCCAGGAGCCTGCGTGTGGGAGGGAGGGGCGGGTGGCATTGAGTGGGGCCCAGAGACCAACCGCACCAGGGTCCACGGCCCAGGCTGGGCTACCTCGAGGAAAGCAGCCCCCAGGGTGGAAGGGGTCCCTCGGAGGGCGACAGGCATAGCTGGCAGCACCTGATTGGGCCAGGTGCCGGCAGCCTACCCAGCAAGTAGGTGCCTGCCCACCGGGGTGAGTGCAGTGGAGCTGCAGAGAGGCCGAGTGCTGCCTCAGGGGCACTGTGAGCTGTGGCCGACACACAACAGTGGTTCTGTCGCATCTCAGCCATTTGTTTGCCTTTCACACATTTGGGCTCCGGTGTCTCGTGCATCTGCACCCCGTCCCAGGGCTGTCCAGTGGCGAAGGTGCCACGCTGTCTGAGGCCCGGAGCACTCTGTGCTGCACTGGTTATGCCCACACCTGCTTCCCCGCAGACCCCGCTGCGTGGGTGCCCTCGGGTGCGTGGCCGAGTCGGGACCCTAGGGCCCTACCATGTCTTCCCACGAGTCTGACAGCGCCCGGGGGCCTGGCCCTTCAACTCCCCCATGACACCCTCACTCCTGCCCCAGAGGCCGGGCCCCTGTGCTCCAGGTCATGGATGTGAAGGTCCCTAGCAGAGACCAAAGGACAGCTGGGCACCCTAGGTCCCTCCTCAGCAGTCCTGTGTCCACCCTTCCCATGGCCCCAGGAGACACGGTTAACAGCGTCACACGCCTGCTCACTATATGGCATCGTGTTCACATTCAGACGGTGCACACTTCACCATGAGACTTCAGAACACCACCCCAAAAAGAACCCCATGCCCACTGCCACCTTCCCCTCCTCCAGCCCGTTACCTCACCACCAACCCACATTCTGCTGGATCCCACCATCCTGCAGTTCGTGTAAGTGGGATCATTTGTGACCTGAGGCTGGCTTCTGCCACGCAGCTCACCCGTGGGGTAGCACACGTCAGAGCACCGTTCCCTTTAACAACTGGATTAGATGCCAGTGAATACGTTTACGTTTCGTTTAGTCACTTGTCCACGGATGAGTATGTGGGCTGTTCCCACGTTTTGGCTGGTGTGACCAGTGCGCACAAGTGTCTGTGGACACACATCCCTCTGGGCTATACACTCAGGAGCAGGATTGCGGGTCACAGTGACTGTTTAACAATTTTAGGAGCTTCAGCAGTTTCTCCAGCAGCCACACCTCACACCACCTGGCGGTTTTCCTGTCCCTTTGGCTCCCCTCCCTCCTGGTGGGTATGACGTGGTCTGGCTGTGATCCTGTGTTAGAATAAGGGGTCCCTCTGGTCACAGGTTTTACTTGCTGATTCTATCCTGATAGAAATGTCAGCAAACTCCTCCAAGGGAAGGGAGGCGTGGGGGCATCGTCGGCAATTATCTAATTTTTATGCCGAATGAGACACATGAGATTCTTCAACATAGATTTTATTCTTCTACTAACAAAAACCATAAAGACAAGGAGCCTGTAAAAAGAACAAAATCCACTTGAACTGGCTGCGGTTACAGTTACACAAAGCTCAGTGTGGGGAGGCTGGGTGGTGCTCACAGACCGAGGACAGGCGGGTGGGGCGGACACGTGACCCCTCGCCAGGCATCTGTGAGTGAGACGGTTTCGCTTAACTCAATGCTGAACCAGGACGGTCCAAGTCTGAACCCCACCCCTACCCCCCGCCGGCTGCAGCTACTTGGCACACATTCTGGCCAGTGGCCACTCGGAAGGCAATGCTGGCCCTCTAGGCTGCCCGATGGCTCCACAGAACCATCTAGAAATGCACGCTTAGTCTTTGCCCCGACGTGAAATCCAGGCCCAGGTCCATTTTCTTGGGACCCCATGGAAGCCTGAGAGAGCCAAGGACGTGGTCCTTCGGGCCTTTCATAGAGACAACCTCTTGGGACCACGCAGCATTGAAATGCCCAGGTGTTTAAAGAAATAAATAAGCCACATGGGGAGTGAGGCACAAATTACTGCAGCATCTACAGTGCACGTGTTCACGACCACAAGCAGAAAGACCACAAGGTAAAGTGCGAAGTCCACGGATCGCTAAAAGGTACCGCGTCAGTGCCCTAAACACAGCTGTCGCCACCCCTCCGTGCGGTGGAGGGGCCAGGCTGCAGCCGGACAACTCAGTGCATGTGCCCTTCCCGCCCCAGGACCCCCACAGCCTCGGCAGGTACCCCTCCCCGGAGCCCGAGGGGGGACATGGAGGCCACAGGAGCAAGTGTGTCAGACGCTGAACTGTGTGGTGTGCTCACGGTTCTGAAGGTGTGAACACTCGGCTTTTACAGTTTCCGTGTCTCAGTAATGTGCCCACAGGGCCGGGCCGCCAGTGCTTCTGAGAGGCTGAAGTT